GAGAAATAAACTCAATTTCTCTTCTGCCACAAGCCATCAAGAAGAAGCCTAGGGAGAACAATCTTCTTCTTCTTCCTTCTTCGTCCTTCTGTAGCAAGAAACTATTCCTCCTTGCACTTCTTCTCTTCCACTGTCCCGTGGAAACCCGAATAACCTTCCTCTATCCCGAGGAAACCTAAAAAAGAAAATTGTGACTTCTTGTGACATCCAGATATGAAGGAGAGTCTCTCCTTTTAACACAAAGAGAATGAAGCGAAGGGATGCTTCACTTCCCGAAATAGAGGAGGCGAGAGTGGTTTCTAGCGAAGGGACGCGACTCTTCGCGATCAGAAGTGGGATCGGGGGCCGATTCACGAAACTGAGGGAGGCGGGAACAGGTTTCGCGAACATCAAGAGCGGGAAGGCGGGTTCGGGCGCGGGAGATCGCGATCGCGAATGGGGGAGTGATCTCCAGTGTCTAACAACAAGAACTAGAGTTGTTTAAACATAGGACATTATGAAGCCCTTTAAATAGAATGAAGCTGAACTTTTAAACATCCAAGTCTCTTTTACTGTAATGATTAAAATGTCATTAGAAGCTCCACAGTTAAGTGTGGTCGTGTGAGGACAGTCATATGATAAGCAACCTCCTTGGAAGTTAGACCAATGAAACAAAACCTTATAAAGACGGGCATTATAATTTTAACCTCAAATTGAGGTTCTCTTAAATAAAGTACCAATAAAAAAAAAATTAACTCATTAGCCAAGCTATATAACATTTAAAGTGTTGGTTCATATACATCTCTATAGTCCCCAAAGTATATATACATATACATATACAACATACTAACACACTAAAAACTCAAAGTTTATATCCACCCCCACAAATTGAAATATTTTCCTCGTCTCAATTTCATTAAATTATTTCTTATTGAATAAATTAAGCAATCTCTTGAGTACCAGCTATAATGGACAGAAAAAAGAGATGAGAAAAATAACAAATAAAGGCAGAAGCAGCTGGAAACCAGATATTAGTGGTGGCGCTCCGCCACCAAACATCATCCCTAAAAATCCTGAGGCTCCGCCGCCTGGAACACCTCCG